CCCCTGGCTCCTCCAGTTCTGTATTCCACCGGCCCGCGAAAATCGCACATTCAATTGACCCAGACAGCCCCGCGGGATCCCTCTCGAAAACGCTAGCAGCCTGAAAAGCCGCTGCAAAAAGTTCTTCCGCGCCGCTATGAAGAAGTTAACCCCCGCGACCTTGTCGTGTTGATCTCCAGCATGCTGATGGAACTCATTCGCTTTAACGACCAAATCCCCCTGCGCGATGGGCGCCTCACTCGTTTCCATTCCCGCAGTCCCCCCCGGATCTCCGTGCAAGAATATCTCCAACGCTTGACGACCCATGCCACCCTCTCCCCTCCCATCCTTCTAAGTATGGTTTTCTATATCGACCGACTCTGTGCGCTATATCCCGCATTTACTGTCTCGACTCTCACTGTCCATCGATTTCTGATCAGCAGCGCAACTGTTGCTAGTAAAGGGCTCAGCGACAGCTTCTGGACAAACAAGACCTACGCAAGGGTTGGTGGGATCAGTGTGGCGGAGCTGGCGTTGTTGGAATTGGAGTTTCTGTGGCGGGTCGAGTGGCGTATCGTGCCGCAACCTGAAGTACTGGAGGACTATTATCGAAACCTTGTGGAGCGTTGCGACGAGTATGTCATCCTACCAGAAGAGGATGATGATAAAATCCATCCTACAGGGGGTGAAGCTGTCCCCGCTTCACATGTGGCTAATGGCGGAGAAGCTTCTTCTTCTACCATGCAACAATAACAGGGGAGTGGTTCAAAAGGCCCTCTTTCTTACTGCTATTCCATTCAACAACTACCAAACCTTCCTTCGCATACTCCATCCATATTCTCCTCTTGTTTCCGGTCTACTTAACCGCCCACCAATCCGGAGAAATCAGCGACTCAGTTTGTATCTTCCAGGAGCAATCTCGATTGACATAGAGACCGGAACATACCTTGTTTCCACTCACCTATGAGAATGACATCCGACTTGACGAAGCACATTCTCATGTACCCCTTATTTCCTGTTTCAATTATTTTTATTTTATTATATATTTTTTTTCACTTTTTTCCATTCGTATATCTCCGTTGCTTTTTATGCATTGTTTCTGTTCACCTTGGACTCTTATTAGAGGATTCTCTCTAGAAAGAAACGCATTTCGAAGGTTCGCAATGGACCATATGAGCATTTTCACTCTCGGCGCAAATGGTGTCCGGTTACGGTGTTCTCCGATTTCGTTCTGTTTTTTAAGATTGGAGTACCCCCGTATGGTACCCTGGATTTGTCAAATTTGTATCTAAAATAAAAGGCAGAAGGAGATATTAAACTATGAACATAAGATGTTTTTTGATGTATTCGGCATTGTCTTAACTGTAAATTATACTGTAGATCTACATTATCCTGTGAATTTTGGTTTGGTTCCCCTCCCCTTTTTCTCTGTTAAAATGTTGGATCGAAAAAAGTATGCATCACATGATTCCTTTAATCCGGTAAAAGAATCGCTTCATCTCGAAAATACATTGAAGCTGGAGTGAAAAATTGATGAAGAGAGTAATTTTCTCCCTGCTGAAAAAATGTAATAACCCCCAAATTATGTCAAGGATAGATTCTTGGTTGATTATGAGGCGATCACTAGCTACGCGGAAGTTATATACAGTGTGGATTATGTAAGAAGGTGGATAGGCCTGACACCCCCACTCACTGATGTAACTGTACACAAGATTACATACAAAAAATAGCCTGTAGCTAGGTATCAGTGCATAATTTGACTGGAAAACTCATATTGTTGAAAAATCAGTCATTTTCTCCATATAATCATTTCTGTCTACTTACTGCATCTTCTAATATCTGCAGTCATAGGATGTATCTAGTTATCTCAAGTGACTTGATTAGCCTGTCTGTCACATTCTCAGCAGATAGGACATAATTAATCAAAATCTCATTCTTGCAGATGAGATTCTGAAGAGTATGGAAGTGAATCTCTATATGCTTAGAACAGTGTGAAATAGTCTCACTTTTGATCAGTTCAATTGCTGATTTATTATCTGTCTAAATCATATATGTCAGCTTATTAACTAGTAATTCAATCAGGCCATCATTATCATCAAGATTATTGAGCTGAGACAGTATGAAGCTGGCATCCTTCAGCAATTCTCAGAGGCAGACAAGCTCATAGACAGCCTCTGAGGATGCAATATATTTGACCTCAGTAGATGATTTTGAAACATCTGTCTGCTTGCTGCTTCATCAAGCAACAGAATCTCCTGTCATATAAATAACATATTCAGTGATGAAGTGAGAACTCAGATCATGATCTGCTCAATCAGCATCAGTGAACATCACAAATTCTATATCTGTGTCTTTTCAGTAGAACACATCTATGTCAGATGTGCCTTGTAGATATCTAAGAATTCACTTGAATGCTGCTCAATTCTTTAAGATACAGTGAGAGCTGAATCTTTCTAGAAAGTCAGCAGCAAAGCTTATATCAAAGTGTGTGTTGGCAGCAAGATATTACAGAGAGTCAATCTCTGATTGATAGAAACATAATGTAAATTCTGCTGTATAAGCAACTGATTCTTTATTATCACTCATGAAATTAATATTCTCCTTCATAGAAAAAGATGTTGAGTGACAGTCATTCATTGAGAATTTCTCAAGCAGGTTCTTTATGAACAGTGACTGAGACAGTGATAATGATTCAGCATTCTGATCAATCTTCATACTCAAATATCAGTTTGAATTGCTTACATTCTTGATCTCATAATTAGTGATGATCTGGGCTTTTGTCCACTCAATATCTGATATATTCAGACTATATAAGTGAACATCATCCACATAGATGATTATATAGACCTTGCAGACATCATTTATAAAAAAACTAGTGTTATGAGAACTGATGTGAAAGTCTGTTTTCAATAGCATTTTTCACAGCTTCTCATATCATAATAGTGCTGCTTGCTTTAGATCATATAATTTCTGCATCAATTCACATATCAGATTGTTACATCTCTCACAGAACCCAGCAGATTGATGCATATATATATGTTCATTGGCAGGAAGCCAGGCATTTAAGAATGCTGTAATCATGTCAATCTGCAGAATGTGTCATTCTCAGAATACTGAGATTGTCATAAGTGCTCAGAAGGTGAAAGCTGATACAACTGATGTGAATGTCTTTGAATAGTTGATATTCTTTTCTTGATAATTGCTGCAGACTACTTAGCAGATCTTATATTGATCAATTCTACCTATATTATTAATCTTTTTGTCAAACACTCATTGATCACATAGAATTATCATATCTGAGATTCTTTCAACTAGCTGTCATGCATCAATCTGCTTGAGGCAGTTAATCTTCTTAACACAGACATGAAAGTAATATTTTCAATCTGCAGATGTCTGAGCCTGAGTGAAGTTCTTCAGAACTGACAATTCAGTGATCTCAGAGTCTGCAGAGATGTCAGTTGAATTGTCAGTGAAATTTCTCACTAAGATCTCTCTCACTGAAGTAATATTCTCAGTGAGCATTGAAGAATTCTTCATCTCTAAAGTGAATTCTGAGAGGGTAATAGTGTTCTGCATCAAAAATGTTGAAATTCACATAGTAATCTCATAGTCTATTCATCAATTATTTGTAAAGTGTAGAAATACTGAGAGAGCAGATAAAGACTTCTCATTCATCATGAAATCATCTGTTGATAAATCATGTTGAGTGAAGAGAATTACAACTGCAGTCACACAGACAGTAAAAGACAGATTCTTGACACCTTGCTCAGACAGAGTCAAAGAATTTATCAAATGAAGATCTTCTTGAAATATCATATCTTTTGATGTGTAAAGATGATCATTAGAAGGATTGATCAATCTATAATTAGTAAAATCATCATAGTCTGTAAATATAAGCTTCTGTGATTGTGAGATCATCTTCATATTTGACTTGAACACTATTTTTAAATAAGTCTTGCACTCTCATCAGCAAATTCCATGTGCAGAGAACAGAGCCCTGAGTCAAGCTTTATATAAAGTAATTGACTTTGAATTCAGATTCTCTACATCATTATAGAGTTTGACTGATGTTGACATAAGATTAAGCATTTCAGTCACTGCAATTATCATCTCATCTCACATCTGGAGAGAAGCAGATGAATCTATTAATAATATTTGAGCTTTTTCAATAATCAGATCAATAGAATGTTTGAACATATTATTTTGCTGTGAAGTATGAGACAGGATTGATTCTCATTTAATACTCTCACTCATCATATAGACAGCTGTCATGTTTGAATTCAACTCATTATAATCAGAGTGAATAATTGTGATATTACAATTGAGTAGATTCTTCATAAATTGATTGAAGATTCATATATATTTTAGAGTCTCATTGTGATGCTTCAATAGAAAGATTCACTGTATTCACATAGCATTGTCAGTGATCATCATCACAAGCTTCTTACTCATATAGAATGATGTATCTTCTTCATTATCAAGTATTTCTTCACCTCTGAATAGGTCCACCTAGATCTTAAGATCTTTGTGAGTGGCATGACATAGAGGAGCATTTTTATAACTTGCATGTTTATGCTTGACTTTAACACATGTGGTGCAGAATAAGAGCTTCTTTGAACTGATGATGACAATTTCAAAACAGAGCTCTCATGACATTTTAATTAGATTCTTCTCATCAATATGACTCAATTGCTGATGTCACTCATCAATCAGTAGCTGCTTCAGCATAATGATAGATAAGCAGGTTGATAAGAACAAAATGAAGATATCAGTATCTGAATCTTTTGAGTTAATCAGCTGCTCCACATCATTGCAGTTGAAAAGATCTAGTGATGCAGTATTCAGATCATAATCTGTTGAAATCATTCTGAACTTCAGAACTGTCAAGTATATCAGTAATTCAAGCTCCAGATCATTCATAATATCTCTGAACATAGAGAGAGTGTCAGATAGAATGTATATATTATTGAAATTCAAAATCATATAGAAGATGTCATTTTCTGTAAATACTATTATCTCAAAGTAATTTCCAGTGTTCATCTGCAGATCATGATAAATATAGTTCTGACACTTCAATAGATCAGCAGATATGAGATTGATGAATAAGTCTGACATCAAATAGATATGATCAAATTCAATTAATCTTTCTCTAACTGAGATAGAGATGATCTCAATTCCTTAAACCTTCAAGATAGTCTTATTAACCACTTGAATTATAAGGCTGCTAATCTCTGTTATTTGAGAAAATTGTGATCAATCACATGCAATATGACATCTAGTCTCACTATTTCATATGATGAGTGAGTTGATGATTGATTCAGCAGAGTATACAGACACCTCAATGACCTGCACTAGATTTGTCATTTGAAACATCTCAGAGCTGTCATTTGCAGTTGACAGAGTCTTCTTGCTCTCACTACTCTTATTATTGTTATATTTCTCTATTCTCACTACATTGATGATTCTTCATTCTTCAGAAGTGCTATTCAGATTGACTGCTCAGTAGAGCTCATCATAATGATGCTCACATTCTGAGCAGATTGAGAGGTCAGACTTTGAATGTCTGCTCATTTGATAGCCTCTGCATCCCCTGAGTCAGCCCTCATAGGCTGAATTATTTTGAATGTTGCTGCTATTATTGAAACCTGCAGTCATGTTTTCAGTCTGAGCCACATTGACTGAAGAATTAGCTGCCTGGACAGGCTTCTTGACCTCTTTGAGAGAATTCAATCAAGAGCATATTTCCTCCATGGTTGAATGAACATTCAACATGACAGACTTTGATTTGAACTCTTGTACCTCCTCAATTTTCTTTTACATATAGTTTCATCATATATTGAGAAGTGCAGAATAGAACATGTGAAATACCACATCATTTGACAGTAAGATATTGAGTATTTTCAATTTCATAGTAATGTCATTGAACTTATTAAAAAACATATATATGTCAATGACTTGAACATCACTCATTGATGTAAATGCCAGAACTGCTTCTCTGCAGAACTGTGTTCTTAAGATGAAGAACTTCTTCTTAACTACATGTCAAAGAAAATAAGCAATTCTGCTCTCATCATACTTATTAAAATGAGATCTAATGCTGGCTGTCAATGTGTTCAAATGAATGTATAAAGTCAGTGATTTTTGATCTCTTAAAAAGAAGCTCATTTGAGGTTCTCATCAGGGCTTTTGACTTGCTTGTCCTCCAATATAACTCAGCATTGAGTGTCAATTAGCTTGGCCTTCATATTCACATACCAGGAGAGGTAATTTGAAGATCTGACCAGAGTGTTCAGCTTGATGACATATTTAGTATTCTGTTTGAACTGATTGATCACCTTGTCAACACAGCTATTCAGATCATAGAGATTATATTGCATTCAGAACCTCAAGTTCAGATCTCATGCTGACATTCAACTCACTGATGAATTTGCAGGCATTGCAGCTCTGTCATTCTGAATGTGAAGTCTCTTCAATTGAAGTTGAAGCTGTAATTCTTTGTGCCTCTTTTTTTGAAGTTTTAAATCAATCTTTTGACATTCAAGATTCAATCTTCTCAGTTGCAATTCTTTGAAGTTGATTGTTGATGATGAGTTAGAAGTCATCACAGACATCTTCATCTCATCTTCTGAAGAAGTCAGATCAGCATATTTAACATGATGTAGGCAGATTAGTCTCATTATGATAAAGACTGTAATCAGCTCAGCTTGCTAATTGAATGTTTCAGAGAGTTCAATATTGAAACTTCTGAATGTCTCTGAGAGAGTCAGTGAGTTCAGAGCCCTCTGATCATTTTCAGATTGATCAGATTGACTAAATTGACTTGATCATGATCATGAGCAAGTCATCATATGTTTCATCATGTCATATTAATCTTCTTTCTAATGAAGTAATCTTATTTGATGAGATTCTTGTCTATAAGCTTGATTGAGCAGATTGACACATTCTTGTGTGATCAGTCACTGAAAAATTAGCAAGTTGCAGATTTTTCTTTCACCTGCTAAGTGAATGAATTAAACACAGAAAAAATAATAATAATATAAGAGTGCATCAAATCAATCAATTGACATAAAATAAGACAATATTATATTGAATGAAGTAAGCAGTGATTAATATACACTATATTTGGCAAGAATTCCCTGAATTGGCAGTTATTTGCGCAAAACAGGTCTCATAACCTGTCAAGGATAGATTCTTGGTTGATTATGAGGCGATCGCTAGCTACGCGGAAGTTATATACGGTGCGGATTACGTAAGAAGGCGGATAGGCCTGACAAATTATAGATCCGGTGCTTTCTATTGAGTGTATTATATTGCTCCAAAGCAATAATCTTCAGGGAAGGTTAAAACAGCCTCGTTTAAAATCCCTCTGACATACGGGGCATGGGCCTTGGTAAAATGGGATCGCTTGATCTCTTTGAAGATGCACAGCCGTTACGGGGCCATATCTCGTTATTAAAGACGGTGCAGGAGACTCGAGCGGGGAAGGATACAGGTGAGGACTCTTATGTATTGTTTTTCTGCCTTGAGCCGATTAACGAATACCTGCGCTTCAATCAAGGGAACGACAGAGGATATAATATCAAATTTGCTAAAACGCTGCGCAATGTATGAAAATAGCGGAGGCGTACGTTGCGGAGATAAACGTCAAGTGTGCGAGCAAAGTGTTAAAGTTTGTATTTGCGATTCTTGTCTCCCTACACTTTTATAAATAATTCTAGTTGGATGGGGGTAGTAAGCAAATTACTACTTCGGCCCCCCCCCCCCCCTATATCTATCTTGTTCCTTTGAGTTCTTGGACTAACATGTTCAAAATTTTATTAATAGGCTGCTGGACTCCAAGTTCCCCAAGGATCCATCTTTAAACCTGGCGCATCTGCGTCGTTTCGTCAAGCCCGAGTTTCTACCGGATTACCTGAAAAGGGATGACTCGCACCCAGCAGCGGAGCCAGGAGTGACGGCTGAATCCAAAGGCCCGCAAGCCATTTACATCCTCATCCCACCGCCATTGCCCGAGATTTCCCTCCTGGAAACGCTCCTGGCACCATACGCACCCGTCCCGATTTCCACAGACTCTTCGACCGCTTCCGACAAAGACGCGGTACCACCATCAACGCCAACACCAGCGTCCTCCCCGATCCAAATCCAAACAACGCACATCCCTCTCTCACCACCAACCACAGAAGAAGAATCAGCCACATGGTCCCAAACTCTCTGGCCAACCATTTTCAACCCCGCAGCTCACTCAATCACGCACTCGCCCCGTGGCCCATTATTGCTAAATGCGCAGGAATCCGTGAGCCGCAGAGCGGGCAACTTCCTGGCTCTGGCGAGGAAGGTTGCGCTGGAGGCGAAGCGGACGGGTCGTGGGCGGGCTATCGGGGCTGTGGTGGTTGATCCGGCGCTGGCGGACGGTGCGGAGGCGTCGGATAGGTTTGCTGGAGTTGTGGTTGTGGCGGGGGATGGGAGGTATTGGAAAGGGGAAGGTGGGGAGGAGGGAGGATCATATAATCCTGACCATGAAGGGCAGCCGGATCACCATGCGCTGATGCGCGCGATATCGCTGGTTGCTTATAAACGTCTTACGGCTTCGACGTCGCCGACTGTTACGCCGTCGATATCTACATCCCCAACGCCAACCCCAGCACCAGCGACTATATCAGCTCCTGCTCCTGCTCTTGCTCCACCACCACCACCCGCTGAACCCTCCTCAATCTCCGAACCGCCGCCCAAAAAGCCCAAAACATCACCACCCCCGGACTCCCAATCCATCAAATTTACACAGAAACCACTTCCACCACCACATCACCCTTCCCCCGATCCACCACCCTCCCCCTTAGAATCCCACTTCCTCTCCCTCCCTAACATCCAAACTCGTGCACAAGGCGGTTACCTCTGCACCTCGCTAGACCTCTACATAACCCATGAGCCCTGCGTGTGCTGCGCGATGGGCATGCTGCTTTCGCGGTTCAGGGCTGTGGTGTATTTGCAGCCGGCAGGGGAAGGGAGGGTGGATGCGGCGCTGGATCCATATACGGGGTATGGGTTGCATTGGAGGCAGGAGTTGAACTGGAGGGTTGTGGCTTTTCGGTTTTGTGTTGAGGGGGAGGAAAATGGGAAGGGGAAGGAGGAGGGGTTGGAGGAGTTGGGCCTGGAGAGGGGGGTGTTTCATGCTTGAGAAACCGTATAGGATATGGAGAGGAGATTGACGATGGCTTTTACCATGTATATATGGTCATACGTGTATGTATGTATGTACATACAATACAGTACATACCCAAGGGCTTAGCTTAGGAGTGGTTTATCTCTATGATATATCTCGACGGTTACACACGCATGGCACTGTCCATACGATTGGAGGAACTTAAGTCATAGTACAAGGTTCATTCGCATATAAAGTAGACTGTCTTCCCCTCGCCAGGCAATGACAAAGGAATCCCTACCAGAGAACATCTACCCCTATATTTGAATGGCCCGTCCCGCCATGGCAAAACACCAACAGTCCAATCTCCGACATGCCTCAATGCTGCGTGCAAAATAGACCACCTAGGAGATTCGAAATGGGTCAAATTGGTAGCATCCATCTCCTCATATCCCGAACAACTCTATTCATTACTTTTCCTCCCGTTCAGTCTCAGCTAACACACAAACCTTACAGCCCTCATGCCATGGCCCCTTCCAATCAATATGTATGTCCCCCTGCACAATCCCCGGCGAAGTACGTGCTGAAAAATGCGCCGGCGGGGATAGCCGTATTGTCCAGCGCTCTCCTATCTGCCCCACCAGCAATGAGGGGGACGAAGACGTCGAAATAACAACCATTCTTTGCCGGAAGTGTGTAAAGGAGTTCGATGTTTGCAAACTCAAGCACCGGGATCACCCATGGGTTGCTGGCGCCCAGATGGGATGGAATGCGATGAATCCTTTATTGTTGCCTGCATCTAGGAGATCTAGGTTTGATTTGAAGCAGTATAAGTCACTGTATTTATCATTTTTTGCGATAATATCAAGTTGTAAAGTAACACGGAGAGGTGGAGAGGCATTTGTCCCTTAAGTGTCCTTGTTAGTTAGATTAGATCCAGTGTCGATTAATAACCCCTTGATGATGATGTCGTGCGCATCTGGACGGGAAAAGGTTATTAGCGGACACGCCAAGCATTTTATGTAGGAGGGTGGACTTATCATCCGTCGTCTGAAATGAGATAGTAAAACAGGCAATTTCTTGGAGGGTAATACGCGAGACGGATCTGAGTTTATCGTCAAGGTAGCCATTAGTGAGGACATTGAAACATTCCTTGACCTGAGGGCACGTCCATACCCCTGGGCGAGGATTTATAATTGAAATCATTGATGTATGGTTGGCTGTTAAAGCCAACTCCAGAAGCGCTCCTCCCTCTATATGTGACAAAAACTTTTGGCACCAGAGTCGGGGAACCACTGAGCGAGCTCGGGCTCGTTATCTTCGATGGCTTTAATCAAACCGATGCGTTTCATTTTGGACGTCTTATCGTCATCACCAAAGCCCTAGATAGAATTCAAAAGCGTTTTGCGGATTTCTAAATTTCCCGTTTTGGCTGCGATGGCAAGGTGGGCTCTATTAAACCTTCCCCCTGCAGGATTCTGCGCCCAATTCAAGAAGAAACTTGGCTACTGACAGAGACGCATGTTTTCCGGCGCCTGTGGCAATTAGGAACAGAATATTGCCATGGCGCCCCCTTACTGTCGATCATTTCCCCCGCAGCTTTCACTACAATCAATGGCGAGGTTCATGACGGAAGCAGATTAGCCCTCAGCAGCTCTCTTCAATATTGCATGCATCTCGGAACTAAGGGCTTGGATAGCGGATCCGGATTAGCCTCTAATAGGAGATGTATAATCCCTTCGTTTCTAGAGGAAACACCCAACCGAAGCGGGGACGAATTAAGCTACCTGGTCTGACTTCGACAGAAGCTCCTCTCTCCAGGAATAGTCTCACCGGCTCGACTTTTTCTTCTTTTCCTTCTCAGGATCGTGACAAGTAGCAGGTTATTGTTTTTTTATAAAAAAACAGATATTTGTTTCACAGAATCGGTAACAAGAGCATTTGCGACCTTTTTGGATGTTTCCGAGAGGAGATATGAGCCCCGAACGGATACGCAGTTGCAAAACATCGCGGGATTGTAACGAAGGATGTTGACGTTCCGAGTCTCATTTCCATCATTTTCAATCAATTTCACCACTAGCGGTGCAGGTAGCAAAATTGAAACTATTAATTGAAGAGTAAGTTAGTATCAGCCTGTATCAAGGGCAATAAAAACTAGAGAATTCGTATCTCGGGGACCAAGGTTCTTTGCGATGGTTCAAATGAGCTCTCGTGGAATATCAGATAATAGCGGAGCCACATTACAGGCAACAGAGTAAGAAACGAAGAGAAATATGTACTGACATGCGTACAAATTGACTTACCGCGGATTGAAGTAAGAAAACAGGACAAATGTGTGTGAACAAGATGATGAGCGCATGATGTGCAGTTGGGAGTAAATTGAAAGGAAAAGTAGAGCTTGCGGTGGAAACTGAATGAGTTGACAAACTAAGTTAGCTAACTAACTAACGTAATCCACCAACGAGCGAGAACCCCCAACGAGCGAGAGATTAAATCACTGTAGCTCAACTAACTAGATTTTAACCTGAAATATCTACGCCCAACAACCTCTAATTGAATTAAACTAAATTACAATAGGACTAGGGCAGCTTCTTCTTGTGTGGCCTACAATATGGCAGTTTGTACACCTTGGTGGTGCCCGTAAACATGGTGCCAGCTCTGGGGCTATAGGCCCAGAGGGTTGAGTATCTGACCATTCAACAGGCTCAGCAGGTGGAAGAACAAGAGCCTGAGCTTCTTCTCTAGTTATGCCTCCTCCATGTTGAATCTGGCATCTAGATCTCTTGTGTTTTTGCTTTTCTTTCTCATTTGCAGCAAATATATCCTGATATTGCTTTTTCATAATAGTGGCATTAATTATTGTGAATTTATAAATATTAATAATCTGATCAAATTCTTCCACTAAGCTCTAAAGTTGGTCCTGCACCTGCCCCATAAGATTCTTGATCTTATTCACCTGTCTATACAACTGACAGGGATTGCTAGGTGTTTGTAGGATCCAGGATGATCTTGAGTTGCTAGATCAACTAGCTGGAGAAATAGAAGTTCAGAGTTGAATATTTAACTGCTGGATAACCTGATCAGGTTCAAATAGAGCTATTCTAGTAGCTATAAAGCCACTTTGAATGTTCTGAGTTCTAAAGGCTTCTATATATATTGCAAGATAGATATTTAAGAAATTTCCTTTCTGAATAATATTGAATCTAAGTTGTATTCACTGTTCAACTAAAGTTTTATATATATATTTAAGAACTGCAAAAACATTTATATCTAATGACTGTAAAAGATGAGATAAATATGCAAATATACAAAGAGAAATAATCTTATTTTTCTTGTAAATATGATCAAATTTCAGAGTAAAATGACTGTCATATCTATTCAGAATAAGAAGAATATAAGTGTCAAATCTGCATGAATTTGCTGCAGGAAGAAATATTATAGTAAATTATTTAATTTCTATTTCATCTGTGATTTAATTATTAGAGTTAATATTAAGTTTTCAGTTATTTGAAAGCTTATCAAATTTGTCTTTCTATAGAATTTAATTCTTAAAAATTATATATAAGAGTAATACTCATTTTGACATATTGACTAACTTAATTACAGTCATTTATTCTTGATTTTTAGATTGTAAAAGCTTTACTCAGCTGTAGTGCTTACTACTAGTAATAATCTTAGTAGTTATATAGAGTCTCATTGTAAATTTAATCTTAAAATTGTATATATCTTTAGTCTGAATGTTATACTCAGCAATTGTATCTTCTAAAGTCTTAAATCAATTCTTAATAATTTTAATATTTTTATACTTTACTCATTCATAATTATAGTATCTGAAATAGTAATATTGAAGCTCTATATAACATTTAATCAATCTGAAAACTCAGTTCTTTCCCATATGAGGGAAAGTAGTAGACAAGAAATGAGAGATAAAAATATAATTGATCATATTTTTTATAAATACTGATTGAGAGAGCAATTTTTATTTATCTAGATTAAGCACTCATTGAACTAGCTGATCCTCTTCAGCAGTAGTAAATTTGATTAAATTTATGCATAAATTCACTTGTAAAGTTCAACTGTTAACTTCATGATATAATATACTATAGAATATATTAAATAGATGTACAGTTTTAGCAATTAAAAATATTTCTTGATTTTTAATGAAATTTATCATGAGTTCAATTCTTCTCTCTATTTCTATGGAGATTCTTGCCTTTTTACTGTGAATTGATGGCATAATTGCGCATTGAATGAAATGAAGCAGTAGATTGAAGCATGTTGAAACTGAATCTCTCACTCATTGGAGGTTCTCACTTATTGGTGGATTACATTAGTAGTTACATGCAAGACTCTATCACTAGGCAGATATGACGCCAAGTGGCTGAATCACAGGTATGTCAGGCTATGACACTTCTTGGAAATCCGCCCTTCAACAACAAAGACATAGAACAACAAGTAACAAATCAAATCACCTCTTGCTCTCCAATCCCAAGTTTATGATGTGTGAGCTGAGAATTATATACAATATAATATGGTAGTAGAGAAATTAAATCCACCCCTTCCATACCTAAAAGGAACCTCGCCTCCAGGCAGAAAGAATAACGTGCCGTGGAGAAGCATGTTCAAACTAGCTTTTCTGATGAATAGAGATGCCATATTGTTAGTAAGAAATTGGGTGGTGTATATACAATATCATATAAAGTGAACTATATCCAAAAACTTTCTTTAAAGCCAGAATTAAAGCGCTCCATTCGGAATTTCGATAGTCATGGCACATAAAGCCGAACAAAAAATAAAAAATAAAAATTATAAGAGGAAAAAGTAAAGACATCTCTCTTCCTTTTATAACGTAGGAGATTCGTTATTCAAAGCCTGACCTTGACCTCAACGCATGGTAAAGTCCATTCTCTCCGCCCGAGAACGCTTCGTAACCATTCCAAACCCATTCCCGTCCATTCAAGGTGCGCTTTGTCCACCAGGGTGCCATTAGAAGATAACTGTTTCTTCACTTCATCGACTGCAGCGCCAGCTAACGC